TGCTCCAAGTGTCAACTAGAGCATGACAGAAAGCCAGTTATGATAGATGCTGCGGCAATTTTTTGAGACACCCAGAGAGGGAAGATTGTGATGCAAGTAAGATCCATGTTTTAATCATAACGGTGGAGGAAGACCCTTATGCTGATAATAGGGACAATTAAGCAAATATACCTCAGAAATGTGAACCTTTAGATTTCCAGAACATTGCCAGTGAGGAGACCTCTTCAACAACAAGACAATAGCCATGTCTGTCAAAGATTTCACCTGTTGCTCATGATGTATTGCTGATTTCTATGAGTCCTCCCCAGGGTCAACGTCTTCATCACTAATTGCCTCCAGTTTAGTAAGTGTAATTAGATCCATTGTCCCAGCAGGAGAAGTCAGTTTCTGCCCCCAAACAGATTATTATTCACTGAAAAAACTTGCAGGACCAGGGTAATATATCCTTTCAGAATCTAATGGAATGTGTAGGAGTGACTTGAGAATGTTGGATGGAAAGGAATGCAATAGGGCAAGACAGGGGAGAGGTTAATGGCAGAATTCCCACAAACCAGTATTTAAGATCCCAGTAAGAATGCTAAGAATGTGGTTTTATACTGACTCCTGAAATACAACACAACAATTACCTATAGTGAATTAGGAGAGAAGCTGGAAATACTTAGCACAGTATTAAGGAAGGAGTCAGAAGTCTCAATAATTTGGCAATGAAGAATGCTTTATTAATTAGAACAGAGACCTTATTGCCTAGGGTTGGAGGATACTACCTCCATTAAAGCAATGTATTGGAGGGAAGAGGCATTTACTTCTTGGAGAAGCTCATGGTTGGCTATTTTTTGTAGCCCACAGTGGACAGGAGGAGATTCTTTTGTGAGATTGGGATTTCTAGTGCCAGCTTTTGATTCTATAACATGGAAGCAGACATAATTCTGTAACAGAAAGCAAGACTGGGATATGGTAATGGCAAATGAACCACAAATGGCAGTTGGCTAGAGTTATTTCTGGATTGGAATGAGTGAAAAATACAAATTCGCAGACTGCTTCTGAAAAACCAGCTTTTGAAAATTTAAGCACAGTTCTACTCTGACACACATGGGGTTTCCATGAATTGGAATCAACTTAATGGCAACTCTTTTTCCTTTCTGGTGGGTAAAACCAATGGCTCTTCTGAATGGTTTAAATTCCGAAAGATAGCTGTTGGTCTTTACCTCAGTGATATACTCTCCTTCTCTATCAGTATTCATATAGAGAAGAAAGAAGTAATTTGGGAACTATAATTATTTGGCATTATTTTAAAACCTGTGAAATCCAGAATCTGTGAGAGATAGAAACCAGCAGAGGAGAAAAACACAAATATTTTCCACTTAAGAGAGTGAGAAAAAAGTGAGGGCTCCTTTGTGAAAGGCAGGGAATGTGTGAGGCCCACGAAACCAAAGTAGTCCTGTTGAGCTCTCACAGTTTTCACTGTGTTTGTCACCAAATTGGACAGTTATTAAACATATGTTTGTACAAGAGTGTATAAAAGTCTCTTGGGATAGTTTATGGATTAATAAGGCAGTTGCTGTTAGGTGCTATTGAATTGAGTACAACTCGTAGTGACCTTATAAGCAAAAGATCTGAATTCAGCTCTATCCTGTGCCATCCTCGTTCATACTTCCTGACACACCAGAGCCCATTGCAACAGTCACCGTGTCAATCCACCTGGTTGAGGATATTCCTCTCCTTGACTGACTCTCCACCCTTCAAAGCATCATGTCCTTCTTCAAGGCCCAAAGTATGTTTGGTGAAGCCCTATCATGCTTGCCTCCAAAAAGCACTCCGGCTGAACCCTCTCTAAGACATATCTGTTTGTTCACTTGGCCATCCATGTGCTCTTCTCTAACACCACAGCTCAAAGACATTAATTCTTTATCTATCATCCTCATTTATTGTCCAGCTCTTAGATAGCAAGTGATCAGAAAGACTGATCAGATGCACTTTAGTCATCAAACTGAAGTCATTACTCCTCAATAAGTTGGAGATGTCCCTAACTGCAGGTTTTCCCAGTGTAATATGTCTCCTTATTTCCTGACTGATGGTACCAAGGGTGTTAATTGTGGATCCAAGCAAGATGAAACTGTTGATAGTTTCAATCTCCTCTCCATCCATCATGATGCTGCCTATCAGTCTAGTGTAATAATCTTTGTTTCCTTGATATTGAAATCCAATTCATAGCGAAGGCTGCATTCTTTGATATTCTGCAACAAGTGCTTCAAGTCTTTCTCACTTTCAGCAAGCAAGATTGTGTAATTTGCATCACTCAGGTTATTGATGAGTCTCTCTCCAATTCTGATGCCACATTCTTCTTCAGAGTCCAGCTTCTCAGATAATTTGCTTAGCATACTGATTAACTAGGTATGGAGAGAGACTACGAACCCTGATGCACTCCATTCTCAATTTTAAACCATGTAGTGTTCCCCTGCTTGGTTTGCACAACAGTCTCCTCGTCTAGGTATAGGTTCTTCCACATGAGCACAATTAAGTGTCCTGGGATTACCATTCTTCTCTCAGCCATAACTGTCAAATGCCTCTGTAGTTCTCTGGTGCCATGGCCTCTTCTAAATCCTGCTTAAATTTCTGGCAGTTCCTTATCTATGTACTGTTCTAGTAATTTTTGAATGATCTTTAGCTGTATTTTGCTTGCATGTGATATTTATATTAATTAATGAATTATATTGTTCAACAATTTTTACATTCAGTTGGATCACCTTTCTTGGGAATAGGAAAAATATAGACCTCTTCTAATCTGTTGGCCAGAGAGCTGTCTTCCAAATTTCCTGGCACAGATTAGTGAGTACATCCAAGGCATCTGTTACTAGAAACAAGTCAGTTGGGTTGCCAATGTCTTCAATACCTTCTCTTTTATTACTGTCTGTTGCTGTTCATATGGTGCTTCCTGAAATTTTTCAGTGTCAATATTTGTCTTTAAAGGTATTTTTGGCTAACTGTTATTGTAGAATGAGTATAAGGATCCAGGAGGAGTGGGAGAGGCTGGAAGCAGAGGGATGTAGAGTTGCAGGGGGATGGGGGGATTAATCATTGGGTTGTACAATTTGATGGGGAGGGGTGAGAGAAAAAGGAAGAATTTATTCAAACTTGTATTTGAATTTTGAAAATAAACTAGTAGGGGGAAAAAGGTGTTTTTGACTAGAAGGGGAGCAAAACATATGTAAATAGTAGATGAGAGGAGATGAGAGAAAGTGCTGAGTGTTGTCTAATGGAATTTGCTAGACTCAAGATTCCATATTTCTATACCCAAGGGGGAAAAAAATAACAAAAACAACCCAAGTAGTATGAGTACAAGGTCATGAAAGAGAAAATGTTGATGTGAACATAGTCCTTGGGAGAGTTTGTCTTTTGACTTGCATATAGCCTTCCATATACTTTGCTTTTATAGATAAAACAATTTGAGGATTGTTCATTTAATAAGAGTACAAATGAAGAGTTTCAATAGTGAGGTGAGAGGAATCATCTTTGTACTTTTGCTATTAGCAGTAACAATAGCACCCTTGACTCTGAAATTTAACTCTGACAACCATTTGGGGCAGAAGAAAGAAAGCTACTACTGTTCAAAAGGGCTAGAAACTGAAGATTTGAGAACAGAAGTATCACATTCTTGGGCGTTAGTTAAGAACAAGAGAACAAAAAAATAAATCTACAAAAAATTAAAAAAAATCCAAAACACCATATCCTGGCCCAGATATAAAACAATAAACATTTGGATGTATCATCCAGAACCATTTCCTTAATCTGGAGTTCGTAAAGACTGACCTATCAGGTAAAGAAGAATTAGGGGGATGAGGGAGGGAAAGAAGATACATTTTCACATATCTGCCCTATACGTATGCTTGGCCCTCAGAACTAGCCTCTGCATCAGACTTCTACCTTTTCTTCATGGTCAATTATGATTTCTCCTTCAGGACTCAATGCCAACATTATCTATCTATGAAGCGGTCATTTCCCTTATAAGGCAAAGTATGTCATTATATTCCCTTAGCAATTTAGCACATTTAATTTTGTGGTATCACTGTTTTTCTCTCTTGTACACACTGCATGACCAGTCTGTAACTTATTCGTGTTTGTGTGTCTAAAGGTTAGCACAGGGCAGGGAATATAGTAGATGCAGATGATATAACCTTGAGAACTTGAAGTGTTTGCTGCAGAAGCTCAAGGACTGCAGCTTTCAATATGGGCTGTATCTCGACATCAAGAAAACAGATATCCTTACTACTGGGCCAGCTGGCAATATCATGATAGATGGAGTAAAGACTGAGATTGTTAATGATTTTATTTTGCTCCAATCCGCAATCAATACTTAAGGCACCAGCAGTTGAGAAATCAAAAGACGAGCTGTTTTGGGAAAGTCTTTCAAGGACTTCTCCAGAGTGCTAAAGAGCAAGGATGTCTAGACACTAAGGTGCACTTAATTCCAGGCCATGGTCTTGGCCATTATTTACTATGCATCTGAAAGCTGGACTAAAGGATAACAGAAAATAAATCACTGCTTTTGAGTTTCGCTGGTGAATAGTATTGAACATACCATGGACTGCCTAGAGAACATACAAATCTGTCCTGGAGAGTGTGAATCGAGTTTACTCCTTGGCTGCAAGAATTGTGATCGTCTGACCCACATCTTTTGGGTATGTTTCCTGGAGGGACCAGTCCTTGGAGAAGGACACTATTTTTTTGGAGAACAGAGGATCATCATAAGGGAAGAAGGCCCTGAACAAGATGGGTTAATGCAGTGATGTGGTAAACTGGTCAGGTGTTTCAAGAGAGAGTGAGGTTGGCTCAGGATTGGGCAAGGTTTAGAGCCATTGTTCATAGAGTTGCCCTGAGTCGTAGTTGACTTGACAGGACACAACAACAACAACAACAATAAAGTTTATTAAACTAGATATAACCGAATTTTCCAAACATCTTTCTAAAATTAACACAGTACAGTTAACACAGTACAATCAAGCTATTTTAAATAACTTTATTCTTAATTTTAACAAGCTCTTATTAGAAATGCTTTGGTATCGATACAGTAAAAATATGCCGGTTTTCCCTCCCTCCGCACTGGATCATATCAAATAACTGGAAAAGTCAAGCATTTGTTATCCCCAGCTTTTTAAGAATTTTTCACAAGTAGTAACTACTGCTTATTCACATGGCTTCACATAGGTATATACCATACGATTTTTTATTTTAGGAAAATGAAACAAAAATATCCAGAAGAGAAATTTGCAAACTCCTCTTAGTTTCTTCTCCAAAGGATGTTTCAGTACATGTATGTTTCTCAGATGACTTTTTTCCCCAGCTTTGCCATTCTTATCCTCAAAGCTGAAAATTAAAGGGAAAGAAAAACACAAGAGTTATTTTAAAAACTCTTAACTGTCACTCTAAATTACCATTTCATAGAATGCAGGAAATTTTAGAACATACCTCAGATGAATTTATCCAAGAATGTGAGCATTGTTTTAGTAGCACAAAGAGATAGTAGAAATAATAAGCTATGGTTAACTTAGGGAAGAAGCAGGTTCAGAACTAGAAGGAACCTATTTCTACAAAGATTAGACAAATTAGCAGAACAAACAAATCATTAGGTGGGTAAATATAGCATTAATGCAGCAGTTTTTACTATCAATCATAAATACATTCTTATAGGTTAGTGATGTTGTCTTTTGCATATTTCTAAGTTGTGTTTTGTTTTTTCCCTAGGTTGTGTTCTATTAAAAGAAACGAAAAATAAGATCTTGGCACAAAATTTTTTTACATCTCTTTAGAATTTTTCTTGAGTTATTTATCTCAGGTTACTAGTATACAGAATGAACAAGATAAATTTATTTATGAATGATATAATATGAGCCAATAATGAAAAGTTTGAGTTATTACAAAACGAGTTTATCAAGATATGTATAAGTATACTATAAAATGAAAAAAATATGTCTTTTTGGAGTATATTCCATTGTTTATGGTAGACTGAATATAGGAAGTATTTCTAACAATGAAGATTTCTAATTTATAACACTTCTCTAGTGTTCTGGTATTGGCACTGGTCATTACACAAACTGTTAAACTGATTACACAGTTTGGTTTAATGGAAACAAAAATAAAAAGGCATATTTTCCCCATTTCTCAACCATTAATTTATTATTAACCAAGGAAATGGCCATATCTCCAAGAAGCCCTTTTCCACAAATACGAGAAGAAATGATTATCTTTACTGAGTAGGGTCTAGAATTAAAAAAAAAAAAAAACTTAAAAATTTCATTCTGTTTATATGAAATATTTTCATTCAAATGGGTTTAAAAAGCATTATTTTCCTTGATACTGTAAGAGAAATTATTCTTTCTGAAAGCAGGACCAAGAATGTTCCCTTGAATTTTAGGATTGACTAGGAAAATCTTCCTTGATCTCTAGAAGAAAATCTATTCCAGAGAGATGGTGAATGCAAAACTTAAGGTTGAATCTCTAGGGCAGAAGGCAGGGCTTTGTAAAGTTTCCACTCCTGGGTTTCAGAAACCTTTGCTTTACCTATGCCCAAAAAAAAACAAAAAAAAAACCAGCAAAGGAAATTCTGCTTTAATCTATTTAAAAAGCTTTTAAAAGATCTTTTAAGGAAGAGGCAAAGTCCTCTCTCTTACAATTACTCTTCACTTCGAGATTAGTGTAGTACATAATGCTTTTTAAACAAAAGCTCAGCAGTTTAAATTCACCAGCCACTCTGGGAGAAATCTGGGAAGTCTCTTCTTATAAAGATTTACAGCTTTGGAAACCTGATGGAGAAACACTATGAGTGGAAATCGACTCAATAACAATGGAGAGAGATTCAATAAATTAGGCACATTCTGGATGGGTGGACACTCAATGAAATGTTTTAGCACACTTTGTATTTAAGCATTCTCAAGGGTAGGTAACCTAACAAACCACTGTTCACTTAAGGGAGGGAAAGGATGTGAATTGATAAACTCTCTTAATTCTTTCTTTAGGTCTACTGCCAAGTTGTTGATACAGGTTCTATGTAGGTGTCTGGGCCAGAGAATGTTGGCCATGGGAAGATTTTTAGGTGTAGCATGTTATTGTTAAGTGCTGCAGAGTTGTAGACGACTCATAGCGACCCTATGAACGAAAGATCTGAACACTTGTATAGCTTTGGTCATTTCTCCATGTTCATATAGTTTCTGGAGGCAAGCCATTTTGGAAGTGGATGCCACTCCTGCTTCCAAGCTTTATTTAATCAGGGAGCTTCACCAGACACTGTCCACCATGGGTAACCAGTATCATATTTGGCACATCAGTGTCACAGTGTTTAACATCACAGCAACCACGAGTTACCTCTGTACAGCAATGTGCAGACCAGTGCTATGCCACTTAGAAGAATGTTTGACAAAAAAAACCCCAATTGAAATCAGGCCTGAAGGCCACAGGTTAAATTTACTTGCCTTGGGCTTGGTAGCATAACTTTCTGTCCACTAGGCCAATGTAACTCTCTCTATGTTATCATTGTTATTGTTGTGAAGTGCTGTTGAGTATATAATAAAAAATTAGGGCCATACTGTTCTCTTTACTTCTACATTCTGCTCCTCTGGGATTCCTCCCCTCACAGTAATTCAGAAATTATAGTTTTGCAGTTTGAAGTTAGTGAAAGAGCAGTTTCCTCCTTACTCTCCATGTCTCTTGGCTCCCAGGGGTGTTACAAGTGGTCAATTTTGGCCCCAACAGTATGTAAATCCCCTAAAGATGTGTTTGATGAATCCTATTAAAGTTAACTGCTTAGTGTGGCTAGTAATTTTAAAAAGGTTGGGGTCATGTGATGGAATAAGTGTCTGGCATCGAACTATAATGTTAGAATTTGACTACACTATGTTTACATGGACAGATGGACCCACTACCTAAATCTTCCTGTTATGTGTTCACCTGTTTAAAGTTTTGATTAAAATCTTTTGACTTTACGATCTTAAGGTTTCACCTCTTTCCCTATTTTTCCTTATCCTTCATACTCTCTTCCAAATAAAAATTATTTCTTACATAAAGCTTTGATAGTTATTCTAAGGGAAAAGAGTCTAGTGGTTCTTAAATATCTTGCCTATTGATTGTAACAGTTACATCTAATAGAGAACTTAAAACACAGATGAAAGAATAGAATGAAATGCCAAACTTTCAAAGTCATGGCATTTTTGTGGACATGGGAAGCTCAGCCTCCTGGTGCTTGTGAAATTGAGGTGGAAAGGTAGCTATATCACGTCAACACAATATTTATTTTTAAAACCCACTAGGTTTACTTGTTTTTTAAGTCTTATTCTTTGTACAAGAATATAAACTAACATGATGGAAGGTAAGGAATTTAGAGCATTCTGTTTGCAAGATGCTTTGATCGATAGTACAGAACTTTGTATTGTTAACTTTGTCTGGAAGGAGTTTTCCTGTTTTCATTATTTTAGTTCAGTGGCGTGATTTGTGTTGTCTGGAAACATTAGTCACTTCCTTTCTTTTTCCATGGATAAACGTGTTGCCTTGGTTAGAGGAGGAATAAAGGCATTCAGGGAGAGCTGGTTAATATCCAAGTTGAAAGAAGGAAGGCTTTATAGCAGGTAATGTAACTGCTCTGTAATGGTTCTTGCCTATAACCTGTGTTCCTTCTAAATCTTCTGTGGTGGTGTTTTTAAAATGGACTTAGCATGAAAGATTGGCCAGTAATCAAAACTCATTCCTGAACTAGAAAGGACTTTCCAGTCTTTGCAGGTTTCTACGGAGGGGACACATCATTTGGTTCTGATTGAGGAACATAATATAAATACATACTTCCCAAGAGGCTAGCTATTCTTTAGATAACTAAATTTACAATAGAGTATGCCTAATCAAACTAATGAGAATATGTTAAAAATATTTTATTCTATTGTGTTATTGGCAGCCCTTTAGTGGGTTTATTGCTAGCAAAGGAAGAGATCTTTTTGAATTGTGTAGCTACTGTTGTTGTTATGTGCCGTCGAGTCGTTTGCTACTAGCATACTTCTTTAGATCAGTTGTGTTTGCTTGGTTTTTAATCACTTACTGATTTTTAATGAGAATTCTTCCACTAGAGAAGTTTAAAATTACTATCCTTTCAAACATCCAGAATATGTATGTCTGCATAATCTGATTTACATGTTTAGCCAAGATAAGTGCAGCCATTAGAATTTATTCTCTCTGACCCTTACTTATTCCTTATAAGTGATAAGTAAAAGAAAACATCTAAATGACAACAAGGAATCTAAAATTGATGAGCTACCACGTTTGTAAGAAAAAAAGTTTTCAATGTTATAAAACTATAAAGCAAGAAAATGCAAATAGATACAAAATAGAAAAAATAAATTTGCTACACTGGTTGTGATTATGCAAAGTTAAAAGTTGTAGTTAATGCAAAGTAAATTGAAATTTTATTTTAAGTTGTAGAAAAATTAAAGAAATAAAGGTAATAAAACTATAAAAGTTTAGAGAAACAAAGTATAACAAAATAGATAAAATATTACTAAGAAAATAAAATTTGTTTCTTGATTTTTCCTTGAAAAATTAAGGCAGTTTATTAACTTATGAAGTACGTTTAAATCACAGCAAGCCACAAACAAGTAGTTGGCATCAGATTCTACTGGGAAAAATATATGCTATTGATGATCCAATATTACTGATCCAAACGTGTTCATATACAATATACCGTTCCATGACAGAAAAAGGATTGATAGTTTTTTTTAAGGTAAATTCATGTTACATCCAAATAAGGCAACACTTTATTTTCAGTTTCTTTACCCTTTGAAGTGACAATCGCTTTATATATGGTGATAATAACTCAGATCAGTGTTAACAACAAAACCCTGGTATATATTAGTCAAAGGGATTGTCACATGACTACACAGCAGTGGCATGCTTTGTTATGTTTATTATTTTTATTACCTGTTAGGGATGGATCTTCAGTCCCATCTCCAGGGATCTGAACATCAAGCTGAGGGCGGTGAGCAGGGCTGCCTAGACTTTCTTCTTGCTCCTTCAAGGATATGGAATTTTTGTGTGGAGATTTATGGTTTGCGTTCTCATGAGGGCCAACTTCTGATCTCTTTCTAGGAAGTGGTATGGGTTTGACAGGCTGGTAAACCTGACTGTGGGGGCCTACGGGGTGGTAAGATGGTTTCTCAGCTTCTCCTTCCCCTTCCTCCTCCTCGTCATCAATTACAACCAGCTCAGCATGAATGATCCCATCATAGCCTGTCAGAAGCTTCTTTTCTTCTTCTTCATTGTCTTCTGCCTGCTGGTACCCCATGAAAATCATTGTCACTGGTTCTGCATCACCCATGTCAGGAGGCAGGGAATGAACAATATTATATCTAACATCTTCATCCTCTGGGCAAGTGGGTGAAGAAGCCTGGGGTACTGACTTCTCAAGTCCTGTTTCTCTGGGACTCAGACTTGCCTTTGGAGAGGATGCGTGTTTGTCTTGTATTACATTTGCTTCTTCCCAAGGAGTCATTGAACTCTTTTGTGGGGTGTGGGATCTCTCCTCTACTTGTTGACTTGTTGATCGAGGTTGAGGTATTGGACGAGTGGGACTGATATGATTGAAGTTGTTGCCTCTGCCCTCTGAAAGTCCATTGTTCATATTATGTATAGATTCATTTATATTATTGCTCAGTCCGTTTGCTTTAATCTTTATCCTTTCCTGAAAGCTTGGTCCAGGGGTAAATTTTTCTCTCTGGGGAGTTGTGGGCCTGCAAAATGGGTTGGCATATACAGGCTCATGATACTCTGTTGGGGATTTAGAGTTTCTCTCTGAGGCTTGTCTAAGAAGTTCTTCTACTTCAACTGGTGCGAGATCATCAGTGCCGTTGTAAGTTGCACTGTGATTAGAGCTCACAGCATACACTGACTTCCGCCCATCATCATAAACTTTTATTCCTGTCCCTTTAAAGTCATCTGAAGGAAGAGGTATTGAAGACAGGACTGTACTTTCTCCAGTCTTCAAGTCTTTTTCAACTTTAATTTCCATGGCGTACAATGCTGTTGAGAGAGACAAAATCAACTTAACGATTACTCTTAAAAACTAGCCTGATTTCACAGCATTTATTTTTCTATAGTAAGTATACCTTTTGATATTCTTTTATCTGAGATGTCTTTTTTAAAAAATTCTGATTTCATTCAGTAATTATATAATGAATAGCATTATAATGGAATGAGTTTTTATTATAAAAGTAGAGAATTAGTGAAAGTGCAAAAGAGAGGAAAAAAAGTTGATGGTTCCAAAAAGTAAGGGGAACCTAAAGAAAGTTTCATTCCAAATAACAAACTCAACAAGACCACATGCACACAGCTTTTTAGTACTCCAGGGGAGGAGTCAGATATCCCTTTCGGTTCATGAAGAGCATTCCTCATGTTAAACAGAAAACCATACCCACTGCTTTCTGGTCAGTTCTGCCTCATAATGATCTCCCATCATGTTTCTGAGGCTGTTAATCTTTATGAGAGGAGGTTGCCCATCTTTCTTTCATGGAGCAGCTATTGGATTCAAACCACTTATCTTTCCATTAGCAACATGACACATTATACACTCTAACCTCCAGAGTTCCTTACATCACATTACAGGAGTAAATAAATTAAAATGCCAGAAAGACTATTTTATCAAACTACATTCTTGCTTCACAGACCAAGTAGCCTGTTCAAATTACAGAGGAATGAATACTCATTCTAAAGTTTTCATAACAGAGAGGTAGTTTAAATGTAGAACTGGTGTTAAAGAATGAGGAGAAAAACTAGAATCACATGTTCCTCGTTTTGTCTGACAACTGTCATATTAACTCCTATCTTTAAGTGGAAGAGCTAAAAATAGAGCCACTATCAACCATGCATTGATTAATTGATATAACAATTGTGTTGAGAGAACTGCTTGATTTCAGGGCTGCTGAGATCTGCTTAGAATACCTGATGAGGCAGTGGGAAAGCACTTTGCTGCTTATCAGAAGGTTGGTGGTTCAATCCTACCAGGTGCTTCATGTGAGAAAGATATGGTAACTGCTTCTGTAAAGATGACATCTTTGAAAACCCAAAAGCTTGTTCTTTTCTGCTATATAGGTTTGTTATGAGTTGGAATTGCACAGGATTCTGGTGGAAATGATACAGACCACAGATATTTTTGTAGTGTCTTCTCACCTTTGTTTTTGAAGGGATACACAATGCAACATAAATGAACATGTTTCATTTAATCTCTTCTATAGCCCAAAGGAAAAACACTTATTTCCTCACCTTGAAATATTTGATGATCCTAGACCTACTGAGCTCTGTACCTGACATTGCAACACCTCTCCCACACCTTTTCCCGATATCCATTGTGAAGGTATACAATCACCTTGCAGAAAGCCCATAACCTTTTGATCTTGACTCTTCTCTGCTTTTATTATTTTTATTTATTTATGTATTTATTTATTTTTAGCATTTAGCATTTTCACTCTCTAATGTGGTATATTTTACTTATTGATGAACAAATAACTGCTATTTCCAGGTCGATAATAATTTCTGCTCTCATTTTAGAGACACCTCTGGTCCCAAACAGGCCCTTATTTTACCAGAGACATTGAAGAAACATAATAGCAAAGGCATAATGAAAATCATTCCCAAGTAAGTGTGGATAATACCTAATCTTCCCAAGGTAACTAGTTTACTTTTCAAAAAGTGGACGGTGATAAACCAAAAGAATGTCTGCTACAGGGAGCGAGTTGGGAAAAGTGTTACTGAGTAGAAGACCTTCTAAGAGCTCCATCACTCCTCAGGCTCTTATCTTCTTCCTACTTGGTTTGCTAGGAATTAAAATGTGTTAAATATATACTATATCCTGCCCTATACAAGTGACTCAGACACTTGCTTCGGCTGGAAGCGAAGGATATCACAGTAAGTGGTAAAAGCTGAAACTTTAACCTTGCCATTGGACACACATTGCTCCTACCTTTTCTATTTTGTTCATCATCTTCTTTTCCTTCATTTCTTTCCTTCCTTAACCTGGAAGGTATGTAGGATTTTGGAAGGTCAGGGATATTGGCGTAGATGTCTTCAATTGACTCTGTAAGATTAAAGTTGTTTCAAAATACATTTAGAATGTGTTTACAACAAAAGGGAATATTTCAGTAGATTTAATAAAAATATGTTGATTAGAAATAAAATATGTTCAGGGGGATTGTATATCAATGAAAGAATTTTTCTTTTGCTTTTCAAAGAGAGGCGTGAACTGCGGGGGAATGGTGGGCAGGGAGAAAAGTGCGACAATGAATGAATGGAAATCCAAAATCTCTGAAATGTTCATTAAAATTAATAAAATAAAATGAAAAACAAAACAAAAATATGTTCGAAAACATACCTCTTGTTGTTTCTTCTTTTTCCACCTTCACAGACTACAAGGGGAAAAAAAATCCTTTAAGATGAATATATCTAAAAGGATAAATTATATATGTGTATATATTTTATAGAATTACAGTCCTGTGCCATATAACATGTGTTTAGACAATGTCCTACTGGGTACACATCTGTAGAAGCAGATTAAAAATTTGAGGAAGTACATACAAAAAGTAGGTAGCACTTTGTGATGCATATCAAAACACTATCATAGGGAGTTCTGGTGACCCAGTGATAAAGAGCTATACTGCGTATTAGTCAAAAACATAAATCTTAGTGTATTTGGAAGATCTTCTTACTTTTTTTAATTCATAAAAAGGTATGATATATCATATATGCTAAGACAAATATTAACTCTGGTGGCCTAGTGGAAAGAAGATGTGCTACAATCCCAAAGGCATATATATTGTCTGAATCCATCAGCTGCTCTGAGGGAGAAGGTGAGGCAGTCTCCTCTGGTACAATTTAAGGCTTCTAAAAGCCTGCTGGAAGGTCGATACGGGCTCCAGCTTGATGATACACAATAACAAGACAAATAAGTCATTAACTGATGTTAGTTATGAACCACTCCTAACTATTCCAGAGTACGAATAAATTCATAAATAAAGCCATATTTAGGGCCTTAGGGAACATCAAAGTCAATTGGCCTAATGTAATCCAGAAAGACAATGCTCTACATTCCACCTTGTTAAGTACTAGTTGAGGTCTAAAAAGTTTGTGAGCGGCTGGCCATTTAAGGTACAGCTATAGGTCTTATAGGTCTACGTTGGCCTAGTGGAAGGAAGCTGTGCTACCAAGCTGAAGGTGGGTGATTGTCATCTGTGGCCCTCAGCCAGGTTCACATTGTCTTCCTGTCAAACATTCTTCTAGGTGGTATAGCACTGGTCTGTGCGTTGCTGTACAGAGGTAACTCATGGTTGCTGTGATGCTGAAGCCTGTGACAGTGATGTGCCAATCGTGGTAATGGGCACCCATGGTGGACAGTGTTGGCTGGAGCTTCCCGACTAAATCAAGCCTGGAAGCAGGAGCGGCATCCACTTCCAAAATGGCTTGCCTCGGGAAACTCTATGTACAAACAGTGCTCAGGCTGTTCGTTCATAGGGTCGCTATGAGTCATCTATGACTTGACGGCATTAAACAATAACAACAACATAGGTCTTTTCCAGTTCAGAACAAAGAAGGTGGGGGATGAGGGGGAAGTAGGGAAGCAAAGATTCAAAGAAAATAATCAGACCAAGGGATTGGAGTCCATGGAAACTCCAACCACCTTGACCCTGGCATCAGAAAAACTAGACATCACCTAGCTAACATTGTTGAATGCCCTAAAATGATCATGATAGGAGATCTTGAACAGAGTGAATGAAAAATAGGGATCAAAGCTGAAAAATTATAAAAATGGCTAGTCTGTACCTGTTGCCCTTATTCACCTCTTGTATCTGAAACAAAATTCACCCCTGTGGTTCAGCTATCATCCATACAATAGTAGCCAAGCCTGTAAGGTGAACATTAGCACCAAGAAGGTACTTATTCTTTAGACTAATCAACAAAGATACAAGGGCAGCATATGTCTAGAGAGAAAATTCAAGGCAAGAAAGGGTTAGACAGGATTAATGGAAATAAGAACCACAGGAAGTGGAAAGCATACAGTTGCATTGTGGATATTATAATTAATGTCTTAAGACAAAACGTATATGAATGGTCAAATGGTAAAACAATTTGCTTTGTAAACTTTCACTCCAATCATGGTAAACAGAAAAAAATTTTTAAAAAAATTTGAAAAAAGAAATAAAAGAAAATTTGGTATCAGGATTTCTATGACAAAAATTGGGGAGGGAACCGATAAAAATATTCCCTTGCTTCAAAAAATGTTCAACAAACATAACTAAGTATGCACTCATTATTTTTAAGTAGAAAATAAATCTTTGAAAGATTTAACTACCTTAATAATTGTTTCACATTCTTTACCACAAACAGGAAACTCTGGTGGATTAATGACCACTAGATACTGCAAATGCCACAGTCATAAAATAGGACTGACATGGGGATTGGGGGGAAACCAAGAAAAGAGGGATAAATAAGGTACATGGCAGAGCAACAGACGAGGGAGAGAACTGTGTAAAAGGAATATATGATTAAGTATTTTTGGCATGACAAGAATCCAGAGTACGAGCTGCATAGTAAAGTGGTCTTGGGGTGAGGGGAGGGACCTGTATAACAATGAAAGAATTTCTTCCCCCCAAAAAAAAAAAACTGGGTCAGGGGGATGGCAGACAGGAAGGAAAATGTGCAACAATGAATGAATGGAAATCCAAGTTCTCTATAAACTTTCATTAAAATTGTTGTTGTTGTTGTTGTTGTTATGTGCCGTTGAGTTGCTTGCGACTCATAGTGACCCTATGTACAACAGCCCTATACTCCGCTCTGTCCTGTGCCAATCGCACTGTCTCTGACACTCCCATCCCAATTATCCCAGTCACTGAATCAATCCACCTCATAGAGGGCCTTCCTCTCCTGTGCTGTCCCTCCACCCTCGCAAGCATGATGTCCTTCTCTAAGGACCGGTCTCTGCTCACAACATGTCCAAAGTATGTTAGACGGAGCCTCAGAATCCTTGCCTCCAAGGAGCCACCCGGTTTAACCCTTTAGAATGGGGGGGAAGGGAAAACACAGAGCTGTGCTCATTTTAGAAAGTTCTGAGCTTGATTAGAAGGCTCAGCTGCTTGCTGAAAGGCCAACGGTCTGAACTCACTGGGAGGAAGAGGTGGCAGTCTGCATCCATATAGATTTGGGCAAGAGTTACGGGTAGTTCTACTCTGTCCTTCTAGGATTGCAAAGAATCAATGGTGATGAGTTGGGTGATATAAACTATAAAAAATATGCTTTTATGAGTAATTTAACAGAACTGTTCTCTAAAGGAAAGAAATTAGAAGCAGAACAATTACATTGTAAGATATATTAACACCCTTAAGGATGTATTTATCTTTTCTACTCAGTACTACATAGAGAAGAACAGAGAGTAAAATTCAATGTGACCTATCCAAGGTAAGGAAAGTGATCCAACAAAAGAAGATTCACAGGAAACTTAGGGACAAGATCACTCTAGTGTGATTCTCATAATCAGAACATAGCTCTCTCTATATTTATATGGATAAACTACTTATCCAAAAATTAATTTGTCATAACATGTTAGACATGACTATTTATAACTTTTGATATTAATAAGATTTCATCAAATATGTTTAAAGCTGACATAAAAGCAGATTTAGGAACTGAACTTGCTTGTAATCTGGAAACTGTATATGTTATGGTGCTTATACATACCCAAAATCCTATTTCACAGAAAGTGCCATAGTGTAAGTAATATGTGATTGCATACACAAGTAATGGACTAATTTTGGGGAGGGAATCATAATATTGTTCAGTCCTTACCCGTATTATATCTTCTGTTGTCCTCTCAATTGATTTTAATTTCTTTAAAATTGCCTCTTCATTGGTTGCAATTTGCAGTTCAGCCTTTTCAAGACCTTGGATCTCTTTCTCAAGCCTGGTTTTAAAAAAAGGATACACTTTTTACTACTAAATTCAGTGGGAATGAAGGGTTTTCAACTATATCTTCCTCACATGTACACTTTCCTTGGACTGTTGCATATAAATAACCAGAAAATTTCTGAGGACATATGATGTTGAACCAATACACGGAAGGTACTTTGACATGACTTGGATTGAACGTTGTAAAATTTTGGCCAAGAGAACTTTTAAGTAAATAGTTTGATATTAATTCCATTGTTAATTCCATTTTCATTATTAATGCTGACTCCGAAGGGAGCAGAGCAATTTATTTTATGCAGAGGCTTATTTTATATAGATCTCTGGTGGCCTCATGGTAAGAAGCTGTGCTGCCATCCCAAAGGTATGTAGTTTGAATCCACCAGCTGCTCCATTGGAGAGGGATGGGCATTCTCCTCCTGTGCAATTACTACCTCTGAAAACCCACTAGAGAGTCAGCTATTAGTCAATCCTGACTCAATGGGACTCAATTACAAGGGACTTTCAATTAAAATGGAATCAACAGAAATAATGTGTTTGTCGTTTTTATTTAATTCATCATTTCTTAAGCTTAAATCCACACAAATTATTTGGAGAAAACATTATTATTATACTTAATTTAATAATTGTAGCTATTCAGTACCTAGAAAACCTGTATATCTTGCAAGAAAATGAGATTTTGATTTCACAGCTTTCTAGTATTTATGCCATATTATCTAAGATATCAAAAGAACAAATCTGTCCTGGGAGAATGACAGCCAGAGTGTTCCTTAGAAGCAAGGATGGTGAGGATTTGTCTCATATACTTCGGGCATGTTAGCAGAAGAGGATAGTGTTTGGAGAGGACATCATTCTTGGAAAAGCTTAAGGTGAATGAAAAGAAAAGACCTCCAATGAGAAGGATTGTGCACAGTGTCTGCAGTAAAGTGCTTAAGCACGGAAGAGAGTCTGAGGATAGTCAGAATCGGTCAAGGTTTCTTTCTGTTTACAGAGGGTCACTATGAGTCAGCCAACCTGATGGGACCTAAAACCAACAAATTGTAAACGGAATGAGAACATGGGGTGTGGGGGGATGAATAAAGTCTAATATTGCAGATCCAACTGCTGTTATTTATACAGCTACCGTTTTCTGGCAAAAGAATCAACACATATGGCCTAGAATTTATGGAGACAAAGACATAAACATTTTAAGAATGGCCAATTGCATTCAATGGGAACTTGAAATGATAGAGTGGAAATAGGCATAGATTAATAGTAATTAATTATATAATATGCTATGTATATGTTGTTGTTGATGTGTACCTTCAAGTTGGAATTGACCCATAGCTAAATTTCTGGTAGGTTTTCAGAGACAATTAATCACATGGATGGAGATTGCCCATACTTCTCCCATGGTGCAGCTGGTGGATTTGAACTGAATAACTTTGGGATTGCAGCAGTAGCCACTCAGCTACCAAAGCTCCCTCAATGTGTATGAATGATTATATAAAATACAATGTACATGAACGAAATACAATGCATGTTAATGATTGTATGCAAACCAATTTTTTTAAAAAATGGACTATTACAACAATCCTCTGAGCTTCATGCCAGATTTAAGTTCACTCCACAGGTCAGCATCATGATATCCAGAATGTATAAAAATGAGACTGGCATTCACACAGATTGTAAAATTGACTGTTCGAGTTTTTCAGTTAAATACTCTAAACTCTATAATCAGCTGCCCTTAAATAATGGCTGATTAGATAAAGCAACTGGTGAGGGAGACAGCAGCTGTGGATATTGCTGTCAGGGTAAGACAATTGTCTTTGGCTTCTTCCCTGAAGATGGTAATGGACTTGGCAACCTGGGAATTTGGTGGTAATGCTACATTTGCACCAATAAAGTCCTACACTGTGACATCATTGAATTTTTTCCTATTGATTGTTTCAAGTTTCAAAGTTCTAACTTTGCTGTTGTAAAGTGGCCATTTTAATTGGAGATTCTCTTGTCAAGAAGTCTAAATAAAACATAATATTGGTTTTCAGAGGTTACAAGATGTAACTGCTGCTCTATTAAAGTTCTTACATGGCCATGATAATACATTCTCCCATCAGCACTGTTGTGGGGGTACATATTGGTTCAGTTTGATAGAGTGGAAAGTTCTGGACTAAAAGCAATACATATGGATTATACTCTATTTCTATTACTCACCGCTTGTGAGGGTTAATTCTCTAGATCTTTCTGAAACAGATCTGTAACATGTACACAAGGATTTCTGGTGGTTGGTCCGTAGTGTGTTGTGCTGCTAAATAAAGCCCACATGTTTGTTTGTTTTTTTCACATGTTTTAAGGGGTTTGGATCCACTAGCAGTTTGACAGGCTAAAAATGGACATTCTACTCTCATTAAGATTTATGGAGCTTTCTCAAAAAGTTACAAATAGAAATACCATTTGACCCAGCAATTCTACTACTGGGAATATACCCCAAAGAAACCATAACTACCACCCAAGCAGATATATGTACACCCATGTTTATTGCAGCTTTGTTCACAATGGGAAAGGGATGGAAACAACCCAAGTGCCCATCAACAAACGAATGGATAGAAAAGCTCTGGTATATTCACTCATGGAATACTATGCTGCATTGAAAAACAAAGAAATCATGAAATATTATACAAAATGGGTGACCCTGGAAGACCTTTTGCTGAGTGAAATATCTCGGTTACAAAAGGACAAATACTGCATAGTGCCACTGTTGTTAAATGGGACTGACATCGAGGTTGGGGGGAACCTAAGAGAAGAGAGGATAAATAATGTATACTGCATTGAAACAGATGAAGGAGAGAACTGTTTACAAGGAATATAGGATTAGGTAATATGTTCATGACAAGATTACAGAAAAAGAAATGCATTTTAAAGTGGATAGTGGACTGGGAAGGGATTGTATAACAATGAAATAATTTTTTTTTTCTTCAAAGAGAAAAGTAAACTAGGGGGACGGGTGGGCAGGGAGGAAGATGTGCAACAGTGAATGAATGGAGAGAAAAACTAAATGGAAAGAATATGCTGCAAAAAATTTAAAAAATTAAAAAAGATTTATAGCCTCATAATCCCAATGAAGGGTTGCTATGAGTCAGAATTGATTTAGTGGCACTATGTAAGGAGAATTGACTCCTTTGAGCTGTGGTGCTGGAGAAGAGTATTGAATGTACCATGGACTGCCAAGAAAACAAATAGATTCATTGTAGTGAGGGTTAAACCAGGTTGCTCCTTGGAGGCAAGGATTCTGGGGCTTCGTCTAACATACTTTGGACATGTTGTAAGGAGAGACAGGTCTTTAGAGAGGGACATCATGCTGGGTAGAGTGGAGGGACAGGGCAGGAGGGGCAGACCCTCTATGAGGTGGATTGATTCAGTGACTAGGGTACTCGGGATGGGTGTGTCAGAGGCAGTGCGGTTGGCGCAGGATAGAGCAGGATTTAGGGCTGTTGTACATAGGGTTGCTATGAGTCGCAAACACTCGACGGCACATAACAGCAACAACAAACAACATGTATCTGCTCAGTCTACTCATATAGAAATGAGGTGAAGTGAAGAGAGATGATTTAAAGGAAGGCACATTTAATATGACTGATGTTAATGTTATCATAAAATCCCAACTCTCCTTTCCTAAATTTCCTAGGTCATAGAGTTTTTAATCTGATATTCATGTTAGAGATGGGCCACAAACAGAGGCTCTATGGCAGAAAACAGTTTCAAATTATTGCTCTTGGACTTTAGGATTTAGCATGACAAAGGTGATATGTCAAAGAATGATTTTAAAAGAATGTCAAGCAATGATTTGAAAGTTTACGACCAGAATAATTGGAAAATTAGGAGTGCAATTGGCAGAAGAGAAATCCGAGAGAAAAGAAAAATGGCAGAGGATACACTAAAGTTAAGGGAACTTTGATGGCATAATTTATAAGGAGTTGCACTGCTAATCCAAAGGCAGCACCAACACGCTAGCAGTTTGAATCCATCAGAAAAAGAGATGGGCCAACTCCTCCAGTGTGATCAGTGAGTAGGTTCCAACTAGAGAGTAAATAATAAAAAGTAATGTGGCTTCAGGATTGGAGGAAGACTCATCAATAACCTGCATTATGCAGATGACACAACCCTGCTTACTGAAACTGAGGAGGACCTGAAGCACTTGTTGTAGAGGGTCAAGGAATGCAGCCTTTAATATAGATTGAAGCTAAATATCAAGAAAACAAAGATTCTCATCACTGGGCCAATTAGCAGCATCATAATGGATGGTGAAGAGATTGAGATTGTTAACAGTTTTAGTTTGCTTGGCTACACAATCAACACTCTTGGCACCAGCAGCCAGGAAATCAAAAGACAAATTGCATTGGGAATGTCTGCTGTCAGGGACATCTCTAGAATACTGAAGAGCAACAATGTCAGTGCAGAGACTAAGGTGTGCCTGATCCAGGCCATGGTCTTTGCAATTATGTGCTATGTATCAGAAAGCTGCACAATGACTAGGAATGATAGGAGAATTGATGCCTTTGAGCTGTTGTGCTGGAGAAGAGTGTTGACTATACCATGGATTGCTAAGAGAACAAACAGGTTCATCCTGTAGAGGGTGAAAACAGGCTGCTCCTTGGAGGCAAGGATTCTGAAGCTACATCTCACATACTTTGGGCATTTTGCAAGGAGGGACCAGTCCTTGGAGAGGAATATTATGCTTGGGAGGGTGGAGGGACAGCACAGGAGGAGAAAACCCTTGGTGAGATGGATTGACTCAGTGACTCGAATAATGGGATGTGTCAGAGATGGTGAGGTTGGCTTAGGATAGAGCAGGGGTCAGAGCTATTGTACATATAGGGTCACTATGAATTACAGGTGATTCAATGTAAACAACAACAACAACAATGTGATAACAGTGAAATGGTGATATGGAAAAGGCAGTTGGATAGAAAAATATAAAATTCAGAGAAGTATGGGTTTGGAGATGTGAATTTGGGAGTC